CTCCCTCCCTCCCCCATACCCACCCTCCACCTGTGCCCATGTAGTACAGGCACTGTTGTGAGCACCCCTGCAGGTGCAAGCACAGGAGTGGCAAGCTGTTGAAATGCATACCAAGGCTGCCCAGCCAGAAGCAGCAGAGCCGTGGCACCTGTCTGCCTCTGTCACTTCCCCTTGGACTCCCCGCAGCTCCTAGGGTTCAGGTCCTGGGTCCACACAGTGACTTCTGTTGCCATTACTCAGCCTGGCTTGGAGATGGAGTCAAAAAAAATCAGCAAACCAGTGAGTAGTGCTCTAACCACTCCGGATCTTGACCATTTCTAAACTAGCCTTGGAAATAGCCGAGGACATTCTTTCAGGAGATAACATTACACAATGTTTTAGGACACATTTTCTTAATTCTTTATGTGTTAGGGTCCCATCTCACAACTCTGGTTCAGTGATTCCCCAGGAAGACAACCAGAACTCAGCATGCAGCCCTGCTCCTGGCTGTGGCTCTGCGCACAGACAGGATACCAGCAGAGTGACAAAGGGCAAGGTGTATGCAACCATGGCTGGAGGGGCCAGACCTGGCCCCAGGCAGCTCCGTGGCACAGCACGTGGCGGTGTATGGAGCACTGTCTACCAGCAAAGCTCATTGGCAATTCACTGCCCACGATCTTTTTGGTCACATACTTCTTGTATCTGATATGTATCAACATTCTAGAATCCACCATCGCACAACCTTCAGACCACACAGTTTGCACACAGACCTCAGGTTCCTCTCTTCAGATAGGCCTACCATGGGAGCTTTTTTCTGCACACTTGTTGCACAGGTGGAAGGAGGGCAGAGGATTGCTGGGGCTGGCTTGCTGGCCTCCAGCCTGGCTGAGTAAATGTGAGCCCCGGGTTCAGAGAGAGAGACCCCACCCCAAAGAAAGAGGTGGATAGAGGAAGACATCTGACACCCTCTGCTGGCTTCCAACTAGGCATGTGTACCCACGTGCTCATACACTCACATACACAGTAACAAGGAAGCAATAAGTCTTTAAAAACATTAAGTAAGTAGCTATGGGCAATATCTGTGTGTATACGTAATAAGTCTTTAAAAACATTAAGTAAGTAGCTATGGGCAATATCTGTGTGTATACATAATATATTGTGTGTGTGTGTGTGTGAGAGAGAGAGAGAGAGAGAGAGAGAGAGAGAGAGAGAACTGGAGCCCACTAAATTTGGGTTAGCTGTTCAGCTCCACAGCTGAGCTGAGGCTGAATCTCAAGGCAAATGGGGCAGATTTCTCAAGGAATGGGGTTTCTTTTGGCTGTGCAAAGAAAGCCACCAGGGTGAGGGGTTTTGAGAGGAATGAAGTAGTCCAGACTTTGAGCAGAGGGTGAACAGTGTCCCAGGCATGGTAACATTCCATTTTCCCAGGCAGGACACATGGGAGCAGGTTAGACTTTGATGATGTATCAAAGATACACCATCAAGATAGTGACGTGACTGATCACTGGGTCTCACAACCCCGGGCAAGGAGAGGGAGATGTCTGCTGTGCGGTTGAAAGTGGAGACCAAACAGGTCCCCAGGCAAAGTGAAAAGAGGCTTCAGGGGCTGTGGCGTCAGCTCTTCGTTCTCAGCAGAGGTTTTACTAGAAACAAGTCAGTTGAGAATTCTTACTAGACTGTGAAGTTCAGCGTTGTCTCCTGCCAAACGGCTGCCCCATGCCCATCACTTTGAGCAGAAGACCTTAAGGAAATAACTGTGACCCTTCACAATGTAGCCCAACCCTCTCCTAGCCTTTTTGAGACAGTCTCAGTAGCTCAGGCAGGCCTTGAACTTGCAATCACCCTGCCTCAGCCTCCCAAGTGCTGGGGTTATGGAATTGTTGCCATGTGTCACCACAACTACCACCTTTGAATTTTTTCCTTGCCTTCAGGCAAAAGACATCTGCCTATAATACCTACGAGTGATTTTATCACCTCTTTACATGCCACTTCTCACGAAGGCCGAACATGGCAATTCTGTAGTAGCTCCTGTAGACCTTGTTTCTTCATCAGTTCCCAGTGACGCCATTCTTCCAGGCCCCATGTGTGACTCTTTGTTCTAAAGAGGCCTTGCTCTTTTTGTGCTGTAACTCTTACTGGATTCTCTACCCCTAGTCCCTTTCACACACTCCGGCCTATTCCTCTAGTGAACGAAGCCCTCTTCGTCCTTCCTGCCCAACTCAAACACTGCCCACCCTGTCAGCTCTTCTACTACTGCAGGCAGTGTTCCATCTCCCTCCCTACATGTTGTCCATGTTGTGCAGTCACCACTGACTGTCCCCTCATGTGCCTCAGCCTGTAGCACAGTGTCTGTCCTCTGGGGAGGCGTTGTCATGTGGGGCTGGTGGGTTGTACTGTTTGTACCGGTTGTTGACAGTGACCGTCCCCTACATTGATTGGAGAAGTCCAGCCACCTGCGTCGTGTGACACTGTTGCTACTGTCTTGCTTATTTGGTGGAAGGAAAGCATACTTGTTAAGGAGCATCCTGACTGCTTACTTAGGAAAGGCATGGCGTGTTCGGTTTGGCCCTAACAGAGTGGTGATGGCGTACTCAGCTACTGTACCGAAGGGGTCTTACTTCAAACTGGCTGGAAACGTTTTGCTCATTGAGTTGGAAGTCTCCCAGCAGACCTTTCTGTGTTTTCCTACAGTGACTGTAAACCGTCATCCAAGGTGCCTGTCTCCACTCACCCTGCCACTATTCTGCTTTCTGAGCTCATAGTGGTACCTGCTGCTGTTGCCTCAAGCTAGAGAGAGGCGCTGGTACCTACCCTTGGGTCCCACCTCTCTGTTCTTTCTCCTGTGGGTCTGCGAGTCCTTCTCTCAGTACAGCTTGTTGATCTAAGCCTGCCGCAGGGTAGACGTTCCAGTATTGGTCCTTTGAATGAAGGGGACTTTGACACCCTGGTTGCTCCCTCCTGGACCATCAGATCTGCATAGTGAAAGCTTATGAACTAGAAAGATGGTGGGTCAGTATTGGATGTAGCATTGTTACAAGCGGCCCTGCCATCCCCAGAGGGGATGTGTCTGATGCTGTTTGTACACAGCTGACCTGTGAGATGTGCAGGGTTTGGACCATCGTATGAACCCTTAACTTTCCTAGTACATGTTCTTAAGAGTGCAAACTTTTGATTGTTTTTTTCTGTCTCCGGGGAGAGCTGAGAAGAATGAAACCTACTAAAGATAATAGCTTCAAATACTGAGTACATTATGACACAGGGCGAGAAGGCGGGATGGCTCCACAGCACCTGCTGAGTTTATGACTGTTATATTAGAAGTGATATTAACATGTCTAACTACAAATCCTGAAGATGAGAGAGAATTTCCTACGGTATTCAGAAGAAATCCTGGTGGCCTGACCAAGTTTCACTCTGAAAACCAGTCCATGGTCAGGCTTGAGAAATACTTAGTGCCGAGAGATCTCAATGTGCCTGGCCCTAGTGGTGCGTTGACAGCTTCCTGAGGGGAGTAGGAGGACCATCCGCAGCCTTAAACAACACTGAAAGATCCTGCCATAGCCCGTGGCCACACATGACCCTTACATTCTTTATTTTGCTCTCCCTGATGTAGGTACAAAATATCAAAATCTTGCTACTTTTCTTCTCCTTTTATAAAAGATGTCAGTTTTCATGTAGCACACAGTATTGCTATACTTAACTAGTACTTGAAGACTGTGCTTGTATATTATTTAGAATCCAGCCCTCTCACTTTAAGGACATTAGCCTAGGGAGGGCAAGACTATGTCTCTTCCCTCTTTATGCCAGAGTTCTTACTCAGGATCCTGCACATAGCAAGGATTCAGCAAATCTTGCCAGTGGTTGGGATAGTGGTGGTAATGATGACGAGGAAGAAAGGCAGAGATGCCAGGTGAGTCTAAGGGCCTCTGTGTTGATTTTGCCTTGTTCACTATCTAGAACAGGGGCTTGTTCATTGCCAAGAAAAGGGATCAGCACACTGGCCTATAGGCCAACTCTAGACCTTGGCTTTTTTGTGTGTGTGTGTGTGTGTGTGTGTGTGTGTCCTTCCAGTTAAGCTAGTTGATTATAGTTGTAAAGATCTGTAAAACAAGAAAGAAGAATTTGATACAGAGCTTTAAGTATTTATCATCTGGCCCGCTTCCAAAAAAGTATGTTGACCCTAGCTTACAACAGACCCCCAAAGTGAAGGGTCACTCCTTTGTGGGTTTTGGCAGTCTGTCAGGGACTGATGCTTAGTGTCTTGTGCCTGACAGGTCACAGCTGTGCCACAAGCGGCCCACTGCAGTGTCTGATGGCACTGAGCTGCTCTTTGCCATGTTCAGCGGGTTGCAGCCCCTGCATAAAGAGCAGTGCCTGGCTGCCAGGCGCCCTTGCTCTCCTTTTCTGTGCTTGCCTCACTAGACCTGGGGTGTACAGTCTAGAGTCTGGTACTGGCCTGTGGACCTTTGAGTAGCACTTGCTTAAAAAATTTCCTAGTACGTTCTGGGTGCCCAGTAAGTACATGTTACATGAACTGCCTGATGGAGAAATTGGCTTAATGAGGGCAGCAGAGAACACACAGTCCTGAGGTCTCCGAAGATGCTGTAGCCTGAATGACACTCTGGAAGTTACAAGTTGCAACACTGTGCTGGCCTGCATAGAAAGCATCACTGCTCTACATCAGGGTAGAAGACATGAAAGATCAGTCCTTACGTGAGTGATGGCTTTCCCTGGGGACTGTGTCGGCCACAGCTCTTCAGTGCCCAGGACTGTGTCGGCCGCAGCTCTTTAGTGCCCAGGACTGTGTCGGCCACAGCTCTTTAGTGCCCAGAACTGTCGGCCGCAGCTCTTCAGTGCCCAGGACTGTGTCGGCCGCAGCTCTTCAGTGCCCAGGACTGTGTCGGCCGCAGCTCTTCAGTGCCCAGGACTGTCGGCCGCAGCTCTTTAGTGCCCAGCCCTCACTCAGAGAGACCAACTGAAGTAAATCATGGGGTGTAAACTGATCTTTCTGGTGGCTTAAAAATTTTTTTTTCCAAGTTGCCCTTAGCTAACTAATTTGAAATTTCCCTGAGGATTTCAGTAGACATTCTGTGTATAATTAGAATCTGTTTTCTGAAGTGTTGAGCTTCATCTCAGCTTGCATCCCTATCCAAGATCCCAGCACCTTCAGAATGCAGAAAGCCCTGCCATCAGCCAGGGGCTCTGAAAAAACAGAATGAGACGGTGCAGAGGACGCACCTCCCACCCCCAGCACCTTCATTGTTGGCTCCATGCGGCTCTCCTTCTGCTCCATGACAGAGAAGACTGGCTCCCAGTGGCCTTCCGGCCACATCTACTGCTCAGATTTTGTTGCAAAGACTAAATAACACGGCGGAACAAAACAAGAATGTAAGATCTGTGTGCATCTATGAATTCTTTCTTTAACTGAGTGTAGACTGTTGGACACCTCACTGGGTGGGAATCACTTAATCAAGATCCCAACAGAGAATAAGACTTGGCCAGGCAGAAGGAACAGAAAGCCTGTTCTTGAGATAGGGACCCAGGAGGCAGTCATTTACTAATTCTAGTAATTCTACTAATGTAGAATTACTGTGGACCCCTAACTGTGCAGGAGGGGTCCAGCTGCTCCACCTTCACCCCTCATTCGCCATCTTTAGCTAGTCTGGTAAGTATGAGCTGGTATAATGTGTTTTAAATTTTTTTTTCTTTCTTCTTTTGGGGGTCTTTTTGAGACAGAGGCTCCCCGTAGCCCCAGCTAGCCTGGAACTTGCCTCAGTCTCACTGAGATCCACCTGCCTCTGCCTCCCGAGGGCTGGGATTAAAGGTGTGTGCCATCATACCTGACTTTTTTAAACTTTCTGTTGTGTAATAATCATACAGAAAATTTTGAAGTATAAAGATTCTTCTTAGTAAGTTACCAACCTAATGCCCCTTCACCTATGAATATTTAGTATATTTCCTAAAGACACAGCATGCTTTGATATAACCAGAGAGCAACCATCAAAATCAGGAAAGGCACAGCCATTACATCCAACTTTTCCTCAGAACATTCCATTTGAGGAATTATCAACAGTACCCTTATAGACAAAGGTCCAGGTCAGAACTGTGGATCTTGTCTCCTTTTGGAACAGCTCCTTCAGTCTCTCCTTGAGTTTGAAGACCTTCAGGCCTAATAACCTGTTGGCTATTCTGAAAGATGCCTCTGCATTTGAGCCTGGAGCCTCAGGGGCGTCGGGCGATGTACCACCGGTTGCTCTTCCTGTGGCATCCTGCCAGCCTGTGTGCGACCTCACTTTGCCCACTTGACTGAGGTGGTGGCTGTTGAGTTTGACACTGTGTAACTATGTCAACTTGGAATGTATCCATGAAGTGACTCCTGTCCAGATGGACTCCTGATGTCCTTTCCCTCACTAGGTTCTAACCTGCTGCTGCCCTTTATTTTCACTAAAGCTGTCTCAGATTTGGTTAGTAGAAACACTTCAGAGTGGCCTGTGACCTTCAGACCTGTCCCTCTTGTTCTCTGATTCCCCCCTTGTTTTCTGAAACAATGAACCGGCTCATTTCACACTTTCCCTGACTTGGCCTAAGAATCAGGCATTTCTCCAGGAAACCTGGACTCGAACCTGGAACTGGAACTTAGAAACCAAGACCTGGGAAGTAGGTGTGCTTGTTCCCATTGGAGTCACTTCTTGTAGGCTTTCCCAGTGGGCAGAACTAGAAACACGTGTGCCGTGTCACACGGACACACATCACCACATTGAGCTGCAAAAAATTGAAAACACCAGTTATCTTTCATTCTAAGCTCAAACCACAAGGTTCATGCATTCTGGTCTTTTCCTGTAGTGAGAAAACCGGTTTGTGACACTGTCTATATTTGCATGTGATCACCTCTGCAGTTGCCTCTACTCTCCATCCCACTCTTTTTGGCAAGGATGTGCCCTTGTCTTTGCTGCTCCTCTGACGGTCGGTCCTCCCTGAAACCCTGCCCAGGCAGCTCCTCAGCACCACAGTCACCTTACCGGTCTCCATCCCTGGCTTCAGCGCTGCTTGGCTCAGGAAGGGGAAGGGATCCACTGACTCTTAACTAAACAGACGGTCACTCGATGCCTGCTCCCATACGTTGATAGGGTGGCGCTGGGCTCAGGGAGAATGAAGAGAAGGCTGCAAGGTGGGTGCAACCTAGAATCAAGCCCGTTGCATCTGTACTCCATTCATAAGTCTCTTTTCATGGCAGTTGCTCAGCTCGTGGCTTAAGATTCTGACTATACTGGGATCTGTGGAGTTGATGGTGATAGGTAGAGAATGGGCGGGAGCGAGCGGGTGGCGTGGATGGAGAGCACGAGCGGATGGATGAGGCACCGAGGCTCAGATGGAATTCTCAGCAGAGCACGAGCAGATGGAGGAAGGCAGGCACCGATGGAATTCTCAGCGGGACGCAGATTTATTTCGCACGGGGCACCTTTCCCTCGGGAAGGGAAAGATGTCAGCTCACGGGCTGTGAGCTGGGACTTTACATATGGGGGCTTTAGGGTGTGGAAGGGGGGGATGTTTGGGAGAGAAATCAGGGAGGGGGAAGCAGGTAGGATTAGGGTGTGGAAGTGTCTTCTTTTTCCTCTTAAGATAAGAGGAACTCTGCTTATCTTATCTTTGGAGGTCAGAGGAAAGGCAGGCTGCTTCTCAGCAGAGTTTGTTCTTCTTGACCTCAAAGGTCAAGGTGCTTATCAGCTAAGTTCCCTTTTCCAGGCTCCAGAGTCTGTAGGTCCCTGTTGGGGAGGGGGGAGGAGCTGCTATTTGGAACCCTAACAGATGGGATGGCCCTCATTGGGCTATGGGATACCAGGGCATCTGTTTAATAGCATGACCCAAAGGAAGTCTGCCTGAACTCGGTAGCTGGTGGTCCCGTGCTGGACCCCTGCCTGGCTGATTACAGGATGCCCCTCTGTAGCACCAGTCTAGGAGCAGCAGCTTGCTGAGCTGGTGTTGAAGACTTGGCCGTGTCCCATGCAGACTGCCCATGAGCCTCCTTCTCCGTGTTCTTAGGTTATTTCTGGATTCTTTCAGCACTGCTCTTCTTCATTGGTTTAGGCCAAGGGTTAGATGTGAGCTGTCGCCACAGGCTCATGTGTGTGAACATTGGTTCCAGCTGCTGGCTCTGTTGTGAGAGGCTGTGGAGCCTTTAGGAGGTGAGGTCAACCCAGGGGTGGGGGGTCGGGGTTGTGAGGTATAAGCAAGCCTCAGCTTCCCACAGTCTCTCTGCTGATGACTGCCACAGGGATGTGATTAGAAGCTCCAGGCCGCCACTGTCATGTCTTCCCCACCATGATGGACCATATCCCCTGAATGTTGAGCCAGGATCAGTCCTTCCTCCCTGGATGGAGGTATTCTTGATAGGTAGAGAGCGTGCGGATGGAGGAGGCAGTGAGACACAGATAGAATTCACAGCGGGATACAGCTTTATTTCGCACGGGACACGTTTCCCTTGGGGATGGGAAAGATGTCTGGGAAGGGAAAGATGTCAGGGAAGGGAAAGATGTCAGCGAAGGGAAAGATGTCAGGGAAGGGAAAGATGTCAGCAAAGGGCAGGGAAGGGAAAGATGTCAGGGAAGGGACAGATGTCAGGGAAGGGAAAGATGTCAGGGAAAGATGCCAGCCCACGGGCTGTGAGCTGGGACTTTATATATGGGGGCTTTAGGGTGTGGAAGGGGGAATGTTTGGGGGAGAAATCATGGAGGGGGAAGCAGGTAGGATTAGGGTGTGGAAGTGTTTACTTTTTCCCTCTTAAGATGAGAGAAAAACAGCTTCTAAAATCTCTGGTTATCAGGTAGAATCTGCTTATCTTTGGAGGTCAGAGGAGAGGA